ATTAACCGGAGAAAAAAAAAAAAGAAAAAAAAGTAACCGCAAGAGAAGGAACTGCACTTTAGAGCATCCACAATGCTTTTGGTTCAATCCCAAAAAATTACATGCCACATAAGAAATAGACTCAGTCTAAAAAAATATATTTTCCAATGCAAATAAAAGTAGAGTGGGTTCTACTGATGGCAGCCAAAAAAAGAGACCCGATCTCCTCTTAAGTCTATTTTAGACCCAAGTAGATACCTAGTCTCTTTGCATTGGAGTGGATTTTATTAATTTTACATAATTTTATTCATGTCATCTAAGACTTGGGTTTATTTACTTGTCACATAGGCAAGACTAGACCTAACACATTGAAGATGCTCTTACATCTTTAACTAAATAGCTATTAGATTTTAAAGATGCCATTTAAAAAATCATTAAAGGAATAAAAAGGAGTAAAAATGAAATAATGAGATGGCGCTGCAAATTAAGAATAATTTGATTTAAAAGGATAAGGAGCGTCTTTAATTCTCTCTCTTTCGGTCTCTTACGTATCCCTTCCCTTCTATTTTTCTGTCCAACTCGAGCTCTTATACAAAATACAAAATCCAAAATTATACTGATACTAAATTACAAAATTCCAAGTGTTCTTTACAACATGGAAGGATAAGGAAACACGAAAAGGGGAAAAATGAAGGAAAGTAGAAAAACACACTTGCAATTCTGTATATTAGTATAAAATTTGATAAGAATTGAACGATGAGTTGAATAATGAGATGAATATGAAAAAGTAATGAAATAAGTTTATCCATTAATGTGTTTGGTTTACTGAAAGAATAAGACGTGAATGAAATGACATTATTATTTTATATTATCATTTATCACTATGTAATAGAAAACAATAGTATTTATATAAATATTATTTTTTTATTTATGATAATAAAAAAAATTATTTTATTTATTAAAATAAATATACTTTATTTTAACAAATATATTCTGGTATTGTAACACTCATATATATTATATAATAAATTAATGAATTGTGTATTCAGATACATATTAACTAAATAAGCATGTTGTCGAATATAATTTTTAATATTATAATTCAATTTATGAATAAATATGTAATATATATGATGTATAGAAATAAATAATATATTTTTTAAATTATTTACTAATGCATTTTTTAGTTTTATTTTTATATAAGTATTTAATATATCTAATTAAAATATGAACAATAAATAAAAATAAGTTTTTGAATTTTTTTATTTGACACTCATTTTTTAAAATAATTTAATTTAATATAATTTAATCATGATTTATAGTATATATTATTTATTTATTTATTAGTATTTATTAATTTTATTTTTTGATAAATTGATTCATACAAACATGGGAATGACAAAACCTTACATTAGCTATGGAATGACTAAAGATTGCTTTTACAGTCCTCAATGGAATGGTCATTCCTTTGAAATATATATATATATATATATATATATATATTAATAATGGGATAAGAAATGAGTAAGTGAATGATCATTCTATTACCATCTAATTTTCTGATACCAATCATGCCATTACAGATAAGCTTCAGCAGCTAACAACAGACCATTAATGCAGAGGTTTGGAACAAAAAACATGCAATCTAGCCAACATAACATTACCTTGATTTTACGTTCTATCCAGCCAATATAACATGAATTGATTAAGAACTTGGCTCATCTGGTGAAAAAACCAACAGTTCCCCCTTTTGTCTGATTAGTTCAGTCGGGCGATCAAATTTATAGCAAGTTATGTTTGGGCCATGTGAATAGATGATCCGCAATCGTTTGGCCACCGATTGTCATGGGATATTGTTAAATAGATGGGCCATATTTTAAACATACCAAACACTCAATTGAAGTTAAGATAGTAAATTTATACCCAAATCAGACCTTAAACCCACCCAATTTGAGTATACCGACCTAAAAAATACGGGTAACACACAATAACCCGCCCTGTGAATTTTATTGACATCTCTAATTGAAGTACAAGGTATCCCCATCAATGGATGGAGTGATTGATGTTGGAAAATCAGTTATATAAAATTGGGTTTGACCCAATTTTGACTGATTTTTTTATGACTAAATATTTAATTCATATTTATTTTCTCAAAACTGATTTTCGGTGAGTAGACATGGCCACGGGTCAACCGGCCCGCCGACCTAGCACGGACCTGGCCCGGGCCCGGCCCGGTCGAACCAGTTGAATACGGGCCCGGCTCGGATTTTCAACCGGGCCGGTTCAGGGTCTTCTTTTTGTCGAAACTGGCCCGGCGGGCCGGGCCGGGTCCGAGTCGGGTCGTGTCGGGTACGGAAAAAACAAGTCATTTATGAATTTTTATATATTTTTTTTTATATGGGTGGGTCCAGACCCGGGCCAGATCCGGCCCGCCCCGACGGGTCATGGGCCCGGCACGGCCTAGGTCCGTGCCGGTTCAGGATCGTGATAACCCAATCCTCTGGCCCGCCATTTGGCCATGTCTATCGGTGAGTGAGAAATAAATGATTAAAGTTGACCATAAATGAACGCGCAAAACGATGGTTGCGGGATTCAAATGGTCAAAAGTTCTATGCCATGTAGGAATTTTAAATGTGATTAACTCTCTTTATTATAGTGAAGAGAGTTGGAGATGTCACAACACCAATAAAGCTATGCACCAAGTGACGGTGTTGACTTCGACCACACGCGCACGCGAGCGCGCGAGCTGTTTGGCCGATTTGATTGGGCTCGGGCTCGGGCTCATGCTCGTGCCTGGGTCTTGGGTCCTTAGCAATTGACAATTGGACTGTGGACTGGACTTGGGTAGTCTTGGACGGTCTGGGCAGGTATTGGGCTTGGACCTTGGGCCCAATTAGGGCCGCAAACGAGTTTGACCGAACTCGAGTCGAGCTCGAGCGGCTCGAGCACGAACTCGAGTCGAGCTCGAGCCCATATTTTGCATTGTCGAGCGGCTCGCGAGCAGCTCGAGATATATAAAATTACTAAAATACCCCTTGTGTATATATGTATTTAATGGTTATTTTACAAAATTTATTGAAAAAATTCGAACCGAACTCGAGCCGAGCTCGAGCTCTTGTATCTTTTTATCGAGTCGAGCTCGAGCCTAAAAAATCGAGCTCGAGCAACGAAAAAAAAAAATTCAATCCTGCTCGATAAGGCCAATGCTCGACTCGGCTCGGCTCGTTTGCAGCCTAGGCCTAACCACTATATATATTTTGCTACAAATTTATTTGCAACAGTGGCCCAATTAAAATCCAAATTGAGTTGGTTTTGGACTCTGGTTGACCTAACCCGTGAGTGACCTCACTAGGTTCTTGAACCTGGACTTGTACTTGGGCGGCCTTGGACGGTTTCGGCCGGTGTTGGGTTTGGGCCTTGGGCCCAACCATTATATATACATATATATTGATACAAATTTATTTGCAATTGGCACAATTAATAATCCAAACTGAGTTGGTTTTGGACTCGGGTTTTGGCCCGACCCTTAAGTGACCTCATTAGGTTCATTGAACTTGGACATGTCTTTTAACCTACCAGGTGGTGGATTATAGTTGTTACACTTGAAACATTTTACAAGTAACAACAACCATGAATGATTATTAGTTGCTTGGTTGTTACAAGTTGAAGAGTCATCCCCTTCTGAACTAAAAGTCCTAGGACGTGGTATAGAGGTGCAGAATACCATAATCTCATCAACATCACTCTCTTTCTATATTGATAGTCTCACGCAACAATACACTTGCTCAACTCTCGACTCTGTTCGTGTTCGCCGAAGCTCTGAAGTTGGTGTGCTACAGCATTCGAGTCAAATAGTCGTTGTATCTTTGGAGACATTACGCACAGACTCGTCAGCACTATACGGGGCCGCATTTATCTTGCAGAAAGATTTCAATCGCCTCGGCTTTAATCTGTCCGCTCAATAATTTATGTCCACTTGTCCTTATTTGTAAAATTTAAAATTTATGTTTTAGCTATTCAGATTCCTGCATTTTTGTTTTTTTAATTTTGTTACAAATACTTAGTCCAACATTATTAGTGAACAACTAAATCTCCCTCAAGTTTTATTACCTCCTTATATTTGTTTGTCTTGCATTTATTTTTCTGAATGTCTTACAGAAATTTAATGAAATAAATTGATAGCTTAAAATGTTAATAACATATTGCATTTTGAAGTCATACTTATTAGCTTGAGACATCTTGTCCTAGAGTATCCTAGTGATCCAATTCTTAAAGTCAGGCTCATTAAGTTAGTCCTTTCTTCAATGTGGTATGGTAAAATTTAATACAATGTTTAATGACATAACCAAAGTGATCCGAGTCCTTTTTTCTTCAGGGTAGTCTCATTAAGTTAAATCCTGACCTAACCAAAGTGAAGTGATAAGTTAATCCTTTTTTATTCAATGTGGTTTGATTGGTAAAAAATTCATACAATGTTTAACCACATAACCAATGTATGGGGCATTGGGGCTCATGTCATTCAATCAAATTTATTCTTTTTCGAATAAACCACCCCTTATCATCACCACTCCTTACCATCGAAATTTTATTATATTTAGTTATACATAGAATCAAATTTATTCTTCTTCGAATAAACAATAAATTTTATTATATTTATTTATATATGCACTCAAATTAATTCTTCCTCAAAGAAAACACTCCTTATCATGGAAATTTTGACCGTCCGATCAATATAAAATGAGATTAGTTTTTTCAGAATTTTAAATAAAAATGACTTGGAATTTTGCCACATAAAATTAATTTTAAATCTATACTTATATTAAAGGAAGTTCTATTTACCAAATTAAGTAGCCAGAAAAGTCAATAACATTTATTGCATTACTATTTCCGTATTATACAATCTATACTTATATAAAAGGAGATTCTATTTACTACATTAACTATCCAGAAAAGTCAACTGTATTAAATGTCATTACTATTTTGGTATTATAATATTTTATTAATTTAATTGATTTATTTATTTGTTTTATTTTAAAAAGGTAAGTATAATAAAAAGATTTTAATAATAAAAAAATCAAATACCAAATAAAAATGTACACACTTATTTGATTATATTTGGTATTTGATTATACCAAATATATTCCTATTTAGTATATACATTAAATACTTACTAAAGTATTTATTTGTTTTATTTGTCAAAATTAAGTATAGATTTGCTTATATTATCAAATCATAAAAAAATATTAAATCCATATTGTGAAAAAAAAATTCATATAATTTTATAACAATTTTACTACACTATTTAACAATATTTATTTTTTATTATATAATAAAATAATAATTATATATTATATTGTGAACAAAAATAAATAAAACTGTTATTTTCTCTTATATCAAGGGATAAATTTATATGCTAAAATTAATTTTTTATTAGTATAAATGTTTTAGTGACATAATATATTAATTATTTTACAAGCTAGCCCTAACATGCTCATATTTAATGTTTTAAAAGATGTAGAAAAAAAAACTTATAATAATTATATTGTTTTTTAAACTTAAACGTTGATTAAAAGAGGTAAAAAATTCCTAATTTTTTAGACTTAAACGTTGATTAACACCATAGATTGAGAGTTTATATTTAGTAAAAATCCTAATTGTAATTAAAAAATTAATTTTTGCTATATTTTAGAATATCTTTAAATTCATTATAAAAAAAAAAAAAGAAAAAAAAACTACAATGAAAAAAGCAAGTCAGCTATATATCGGTTTGTTGTACTCCTCAAATCACATTCACAATTTAGCTACAAGGAAAGGAAACTCATTGATTAAAATATTATTTTGTCGTACACCTCAAATCACATTCACAATTTAGCTACACCATAGATTGAGAGTTTATATTTAGTAAAATTCCTAATTGTAATTAAAAAATTAATTTTTGTTATATTTTAGAATATCTTTAAATTCATTATAAAAGAAAAAGAAAAAAAAACTACAATGAAAAAAGCAAGTCAGCTATATATCGATTTGTTGTACTCCTCAATCACATTCACAATTTAGCTACAAGGAAAGAAAACTCATTGATTAAAATATTATTTTGTCGTACACCTCAAATCACATTCACAATTTAGCTACAAGGAAAGGAAACTCATTGATTAAAATATTATTTTGTCAGTAGTCTTAATGTACAAGAGAATTCATTGATTAAAATATTATTTTGTCAGTAGTCTTAATGTACAAGAGAATTTAGTTATGTACAAGAGAATTTAGTTATTTTGTCAGTAGTCTTAATGTAATTTATGACTCCACTTGAATATTATAAAACTTTTATTGAACATTGTATAATTTTCTTGCGTATTATTGAACATTGTATAATATTATTGAATATTGCATCTTATATATAATATTATATTGTTTTGTCAGTAGTCTTAATGTACAAGAGAATTTCTTGCGTATTATTGAACATTGTATAATATTATTGAATATTGCATCTTATATATAATATTATATTGTTTTGTCAGTAGTCTTAATGTACAAGAGAATTTAGTTATGTACAAGAGAATTTAGTTATTATGTCAGTGGTGTTAATGTACAAGAGAATTTAGGACTCCACTTGAATATTATAAAACTTTTATTGAACATTGTATGATTATGTACAAGAGTATTTAGGACTCCACTTGAATATTATAAAACTTTTATTGAACATTGTATGATTTTCTTGCGTATTATTGAACATTGTGTAATATTATTGAATATTGCATCTTATAATATAATATTATATTGTATAATAAATATTATCTTGCATATTATTGAACATTGTATAATATTATTAAATATTTCATCTTATAATATAATATTATATTATATATTGAATATTATCTCGAGCTTCGCACATGTCACTATATAATTATAAGTATTTCGGAAGCTATAACAAATATCCAAAAGGTATATATTCCGGATAATGACAACCCACCAGGTTATTAATGTTAATCGGTCAATGTCTATCATAAATTCGTAATCTGTATGATATGTATCAAAATCTGCAGATATTAATAATAATAACATAAAATTAGTAACTCAAAAAATATGTATGAAAAGAAAAAAATTAAAATCCATTCCGAATATCATTCATAGAGCAAACATGTATCTTTCATATACATGTGTACAAAATTGCAGACATCAAAAACTTAAAAACCCTAATCACGAAGAAGATACCATAGCAGATTCAAAATTCAAACCAAACGAAATCCCATTAAACATAAATTGATTTTGCAAAAACACCACACACTAAAACGAAATTGAACTATATGAAAGACGCATCTGCCATTGTAGAAAAGCTCAACGATTCGATGAAGGGCAGTCGCGTGCAAAATGTCCATCCTCGCCACAGCTGTAGCAACCGCCGCCGCCGCCGCCGCCGCCGCCACCGCCACCGCCGTACCTTCCTCCACCACCGCCGCCGCCACCGCCCTGGGAGCAATCCCTAGCCATATGCCCAGCCTCACCGCACTTGTAGCAGGCGCCACCGCCGCCTCCCCCGTACCCACCTCCGCCGCCGTATCCACCACCGCCATAAGATCTGCCGCCGCCTCCCCTGCTGCCTCCATCGTAGCCGCCTCCCCTGCTTCCCCCATCGTAACCGCCTCCCCTGCTTCCCCCATCGTAACCTCCGCCCCTGCCGCCGTAAGATCCGCCGCGGCTGCTGCCCTGGACGGCAGCGCCGCCGGGTCCGGTCACGTTCGCCGCCTTGTCGCGGCCGTCGTTGCCCTGCTCGACGACGAACTCGACCGCGGATCCCTCGGCCAGGCTACGGAAACCCTCGGATTTGATCGCCGATTGATGGACGAACAGATCCTCGCCGCCGTCATCGGGGGTAATGAACCCGAAGCCTTTCTGGTCGCTGAACCACTTCACGGTCCCCTTCCTCACATCGCCGTCAGCCATTGCTGCAGAAGTTCGATATTCACCCTAACCCTGTGATTATCTGTTGCGCTTTATAGAGTTGTACCATGGGCTGAGTATATATATACATACACCGCTGTTCGCGTAGGCGGATTTTATTTTTTCTATTAACCGGTAGCTAATTGTTGGATAGGGGTCCGGGGATTTGATTTTTCTCGCGAATATTATGGGGAATCAAACGAACGGTTGTAGTTTCTTCAGGAGTTGGAGTCGTCATCTGACCGTTCGATTTAGGGCTGAGGTGGGCGAAAGAAGGAATTACCGCAGCCTGGTTGATGGAAAAGGAGATTTGTTATTAGGCCCAGCCCAAGTTTGACCGACAAATGATACTGTTATCTTTTTCTAAATATTTCGCAACTTTTTTAAAGGTCCACTTGGATCTAAATCATTTCCCAGTTTATTAATTCAAAACATATTGAGAGGGTGTATTCAATTGAAATTTTAAATAATATTTTGAGACTTTTTAAGATATGAGACTGTTTAGAATTTGAGTTTGAAGCAATTCTATGAAATCTTATGGAGGTGTATTCAATTAAGATTTCTAAAGACTTTTTAAAACTTTTAAAATTTTAACCTATTTAATTTAGATTTGTTAATACTTTTAAAAGTCTTAGGGTATTCAATTGATTTTAAAAATTCTTACAAAATCCTAAAGTATTTAACTTATTTGAGATTAGAATTTGCTAAAACTTTTTAAGATTTGGTGAGATTTTTTAAATAAAAAATTTTTATACGAAATCTCACTTCAAATCCCACCTCTAGATTTAAGATTTCACATAATTTCTCCAAACTCTTCAAATGTTAAAAGGTCTCAACTCTTAAAAATTCTCAAAATGTCACTTGAAATCCCAATTGAATATACCCCTCGTTTGGAGGTGGGATTTAATGTGGAATTTCGTATAATGTTTTTTTTTAGAAATCCCACCAAATATTTAAAAGTCTTAACAGATCATAATTTCAAATAAGTTAAATACCTCAAGAATTTGTATGACTTTTTAAAATCTCAATTGAATACTCCAAGACTTTTAAAAGTCTTAACAAATCTAAATTGAATACATACGGATTTCTAAAGTTTTAAAAAAGTGTCTAGAAATCTCAATTGAATATAACCCCTTATACTAAGTGACAAATTTGCATGTTTCGAATACTAACACGATAAAATTTTGTGTTTGGTTGCTTAAGTAATAAATTTGCATGTTTCGAATACTGACACGATAAAATTTTGTGCTTGGTTGTTTGTAACTCAGTTTATGTAACATTATTGAATCAGGTTTGTTATTTGTCATAAATAGTTTATTCTTGACCAATTTTCTCTTTCTAATGTCATAATTTTTATCGCTTTCATGTGTTAACACACCATCTCTCTACTTGATAAGCACTGAAATTGCCAAATGTTACCACATTATCACTCCACTCCACTTGATAAGCACCGAAACTGTATTTTAGAGGCAAATATATATAGGTTCAATGAATTTGATGAATGACACACGGGTTGAGTCCAAACTCGACTCCAAATAAATTTGCAGCACAAGACTATATGGACTTAGCCCAAGGCTCAAGCCCAAATCCATTCAGTCCGTCAAAAACCGCTCAAGTCCAACTATAAATGCCCACGGGCTGCCTGGCCCGGACACAGCACGAACTCAGCCACGTCATACCTGTGGCCAATGGGTCCGGGTCCGGCTCGAATTTTAACCGGGCTGGATCAGGGTCATACATTTATACCATATAATTTGCCGGGCCGGGCCAGCCCAGGAAATCGACAGTAGATTTGTTTTCATTTTTTTTAGGTTGGATCCCTGAATCGGGTTGGGCCCGGCTCGGCCCGCCTGGCCGTGTACCCGGCCCAGGCCTAGGTAAGAGCCGGTTCAGGTCGTTTTTTTGCTTGGAGACTTGCCGGGCTCGGCCCGAGAATTTGACTATGTATAAGTCAAACTACCAGGGACCAAGGATCAACCTGGGGGATGGGTCTTTCCCAACACCGATCCAGGCCGTCAAAGATCATCCATATTCAACTACCAAGGACCAAGGTCCAAGATCCCAAGCCAAGACCCAGACATGTGCCAATTCAAGCCCGATAGACAGGCGAGTGTGTGGCCGAAACGAGCACCATCTGACTTCTTAAACTCTGTTTATTATATTAAAGAGGTTTTCCATCAATTAAGAATCAAGTGTGGGATATGTCTATTGACCTTTCGAATTTCACAATCAAGTTTACATGTTCATTAATGATTTACTTAGCTCATTTATTTATCACTCTATAGAAATCAATTTTGAGAAATAAATACAAAAATATCTATTGAACATTTTTTTTTTATGTAATTTAATTTAATCCAACCTAATTTGTTTTTAGCCATTGAAAAAACAGTCAAAATTAAGCTGGGCCCATTTACATATAACTGATTTTTCTAACAAATTAATTTTTTCATATATATATTTATACATTAACAATTAATGAAGATAAAATTATAAAAAAGCCAAATTTGGTATATTAAATTAGTTGTTTATATTAATTTGAAATATAATTTCTTCCCACACAAATATACATTTTATTGAATAATTATGGGGAGTGCGGAAATTCAAAAATATTATAGTGAATGAAATCCACATGTGGGTAAACAAATGGAAACAAGTGAGGGGACGTGACATTTGGCAAACAAACGTAACGAGGATCCAAACCCGTTAACCCATGTAAACCCGCCCCAACAAAGTTAGTTAGAAGATGAGTGAGGAATAGATAAAATATGCACGACATTTGCATTTTGGTCGACCCCCAAAACCCGTGAATGGTCAAAACAGAATTCTTCACGTTCTTCAGTTGCTTTCACAACTTTGCGCCGAAATTTACCTGTCATGCTAGATATTTGAGTTTGCAATATTTTTTTTTTTAACTTGCACTTGATATACATTTTGTAGATGCTATTGTATTTGGCAGTTTACACCCCATGTATATACATATACATGTACATAACAATGAACTACAAGTAAAATCTACTAAAAATTTACTACAAGAACCTTAAACTAGACAAAGACTGGTAAATAGTAGACAGTAAGAACACATGGAATCTAGTACAAACTACAAAAACCCCCATTGATGAAAACAAATACCGACTGAAATCCACAGCCGTTGAATTAAGAGATTCAAACAATCTTTTTTCCGGTAATTTGAGTCTTGGAAGTAATATAATTCTTCATGGGATAAACAAGCTTTGAATCTGAGCTGAGGATCCAATGCAAGGAACTTATAAAGAATTCTCTCTCGCATAAGCAGTTTAGGATTAGTTGAAGTAATCCGAATTGTTCAATGAGATAAAATGAGCGTCTTTTGACGAATCTCCATCATACCAAGTTATGGATCCTGCGAGGATTTAACACACCATCGATTGTATCATAAGTTGAAATCAAGCATCAGAATTATGTGAAGGAAGATTTTCATAAAAATAAATAAATAAATAAATAAATAATACTGCTTTCTTTTAGTGTATTTGATTCAATAAAGTAGTTCACAATTTGAGGTTTGTGCCATTTGCAAAGAGAAGAAGTAGAAAATATATTAAGGCTATGTATGGTAACCATATATAAGCTAGCTTATAGCTTATTTTGTTAGTTTATAAGCTTCTTGAGTTCAAATAAACTTCGTTTGGCAGGACGAACTTTTTTTAAAAGGTTCGAGCTTATCCCATTAACTTCTTTGGGTAGCTTTTCAAATAAGCTCATTGCAATTTTTATTTGAACTAGCTTATCAACAGTTTACCAAATACTTTTATCATATAAGCTACCTTTTTAGCTATAAGTCATAACCTATAAGCTATAAGCTCGAAAATACACTTAATACACTTATAAGCTATAAGCTAGCTTATCATCTATCAACAAGCTTATATAGTTAATTTTACCAAACATAGCCTAAGTAAAACATGATTGGCAGGGACCTTGCTAACATTTTGCTTGTGTTCGAAATTCAAAAAAAACAAAAAAAAAAAAAAAATTNAAAAAAAAAAAAAAAATGCAGAGTGAAAAACTTAAGCAGCCTTTTCACCATATACCTGTTGTCATTGTTGCTTGCTCCTCCTCTCGTGTGACATGGAGTATAATTGTTCCCGATAGAACCGTAATAAATCCACATATTTCAGAAGTTATGCTGCTCAAATTTTGACCCGACCAATCCTAATATACGCATAATTCTTGTCAGAGAATATACGTATAGCATATAACCTTGAAAATCTGATTAAATCGCGACTAGTTTACCTTGAACATTATAGCGCTTGCAATAATAGTCAGTGTTGTGAACATCACGTAATATATAGGCGAAACAATTGCAGCGTTGAAAGTGTCGAGTGCCTAAACAGAACAAGGCAAAGTATCTCAAATATCTTAACTAAGGTACCAACCATAGGGGTCTAAAGACTACCTTTTGAGGTTAAGGAAATTGTTTAGCAACAAAGTCTCAGTTATCTTTCAAAAAGTACACCCCTTTGAGGTTTGCTTTTTTTTTTTTTTGGCNTTTTGGCAAAATTACATTTTTAGTCATGTTTAACGTCATAACAATTTTAATCTCAAGATACTAACTTTTCCCCTTTTGCGTCGTGTGATTTAATATTTTGCTGCAATTTCAGTCCTCAAGGAACTGAAATTGCAACAAAATTTTAAATTACAGGACTTAAATTGCTAATTGAAAATCTGGGAACTTGAGAATTTATTGTAATTTTAGTCCTTGGAACTAAAATGGCTATGACATTTAACCAACACGACTAAAAATATAATTTTGCCTTTTTTGTCTTCCTTAAAAATTCTTCATAGCCGTGCAGTTTAAAATCTAAACAAATGCCATGAGAAGCATTCATAAATTCGAAGATTATTATTATTACTATTATTAATAGGCTAGGCCTCGAGAATCAAATCATCACCATATACGATTACCTTGTTTAGATAATTCAACTGTGTGATCACACATAATACTGCAACCGAAAGAAAAAACCAAGTCTGTGCATATCCGAACTGATTGATCCCTTCCAAAGTGAGCTTAATAGCAATTCCTATCGCCTTTATGCTCACAACCTTCATAATGATACCCGAATATGCAATTAGATTTCGAAACAGAGCCATAGAAGCTTTTTTCTCAAGAACTCTTAGGGGGAAAAAAACTACAGAAGCCTCCTCAAGAAATTTTGATAGTCAAATCACTTCGAAATCCAATACATTTATCATCAAAAGCCTCCTCAATAATAGTTTTTTGAAGTGATTCGAATATCTAGTTACAGACTTATATATACAGTATATACCGTATAACAAACACCACTTGAGGTTCACATTTCGAAATAAGAAACTCCCACTGCTGAAAATTTCACTTTTAAGAGGATAATCGGACTATTTTTTTTTGCGGTAGTTATACTGAACAGAGCCACAGAAGCTTTTTCTCAAGAACTCTTGAGGGAAAAAAATTACAGAAGCCTCATCAAGAAATTTTGATAGTCAAATAAATCACTTCAAAATTCAATACATTTCATTTATCAGAAGCCTCCTCAATGGTAGTTTTTGAAGTGATTCGAATATATAACAAACACCACTTGAAGTTCACATTTCCAAATAGGAAACTCCCTTTGCTGTAATTTTTTAGAGAATAATCAGACTATTTTTTTTTCCCCGGTAGTTTTACTGAACTGCAAGAATATTTTTCAGAACAAACCCTAAATGAAAATTACCGTAAGTGCACCCATCAACGAACATATCCCCAAATACACCAATATATTGGTCTGCCCATAGAGAGGCTCGAGATGCAGCATTAGAACTAGCACGATGGATAAAGTAGCCGTCACATAAACAAGAAATGCTGTAGACAGAATAAATATTACGATGAGTAACACTTTTGGAAATGGAAGAAGATAGAAGAAAAAGGGAGAACACACAAATGGCATGCAAAAGATGAAGAAAAAAGAGTGATAAACACCTGGTTGAGTTGCTAAACTCCAGACTTCTTGTACGGAACTCGGAATATGTTCTTGAGGAGCATGAATAACAATTATTACAGATCCCACTATGCAAGAAACACATCCCAATATGCCCATTTTACTCAAACGTTCTCTCAACAGAAAGTGCGCCAAAACAGCACTTTTCATAATTCAGTTTAACAAAAATGTTAGTGTAAGAAAGATATCAATCATCAAGATGTTCTAACAAAATAAATTTCATTATATCTCAGAAAGTACCTAACTATGATACTCAATGCACCGAGAGGGGTCACGAGAACAGCTGGAGCAAATATGTAAGCTACAAAGTTCGCCACCTCACCGACAATCACTGACCAGAAGGACAAATAGGGAATTTTACTAAAATTAACATTTGACGATTTGTGATATAACAAGGGAGAAAAAGGAAGTGCATAATAACTCACTTGTAATCATGCCGGCCCACCAAAGAGGCTCTAATAAGTAAGTGTAGCCTCCAACTCCTGCAAATAGAAAACTGTGACGAGATTAGGCGTAGAATAAGCTAATCAAACCAAACATTGTTCGACTAAGACAATGAATACTTGAATTTATTAGCACAGAACAGCTATGCTTGTTTCGTGTGAGCAACATGGGTTCGATGTAATGTACCAGAAAATGTATGAATTTGAAAGGAAATGCATGGATATGCATTCAGAAACAGATTGTTGTTGTGACTTTACTTCTGCAAAAACGAGCTAAAATCACCGAGCACTAAGTTTAAACAGATCAGACAATAAGCCAATTTCAAATCCCCAAACCAAGAATATCACTTCAGTTCTGAACTAGCCCTTCAAACATTACACACATCCATCTAAGTAAAAAATTAATCAAGCCACTGATTTCTCTCTTGAGAAAATGAAAAAACCCAACAAGAACACAACTTTATAAGTTAAAAACGAACATCCACAGAGATCAAATGAGAATCTAATATACCTGCCCGAGTGCCAGCTGCTGCAGCCCGCCGGAGACCCTTTTTCTTCAAGATAAAGCTTGTCCCGATGAACAAACTCGAGAGCATTGCCAAGATTAACCCCCTCGAGTTATCAGAAACAGCCATCTCTTCTTACTTATACTACTTACAAGTGTTCTTTTAATCTATACACTCGTTCTATCTACCGAAAACAAATGGGCAAAGGAAAAAAGTGATCTTTGAAGTATGGCTTGAAAGAAAGCAAGAAATAAAAGTGAAATCAATCAAAGATCCCGACAAATGGAGTTCCCGCCACTCACGTTACTCGAAAAATTTCATGGGGATCTGTGCCACAAATAATTCTTAGAACAAACAAATTAACAAATTGGAGAGGGGGAGAAAAAGAGATAGCCGGCGAGAAGCTGCCGGAGAAATTTCAGATGGGACATGGGATTGAGTGTGTTTGTGATGATGACGGCTTTGTTGAATGAAGCTGGCGGTTTTTGAGCCGCCGTCGACGACCAAACTAGAATCTGCTGCTGTTCTTGTGCCAGCTGCGATACTTCCGTTGCTCTGTGTTTTTTTGTTTTTTTATATATTTTTGTCGGAGTATTTATTGAGCTGTAATGTATTAATTTACAAAGGAGTATGAGAAATGCAGATAAAAAAAATAATATTGTGGGGTCCATTTATTAAATAATAAATAATAGAAGGGCCCAGGCTCCAAACCAAACAGCAAACGAGCCTCGTGGCTTGGCTGGGCCCCACTCGTCCATAGAAGTATCTTGAATGAGAGTTGGGTTTACAAATCAACTGGTACAATTTTAAAATTTTACCGGGTGTACAATTTATTCCAAAATTTTAAAATTAATGAGAAAAAAGTATTTTAAAATTAAATACGTTTCACAAAAGATATATATTATTATATATTTTAGAATACTGCTTATTATTGGTGCGACTTACACGTGTTGTAGTAAAATAATTTTTTTTAATTATATTATATAACTACTTTAAACATAAATATATTAATTTATAAATAATTTAAATTTTTAGTTAGTATTTATAAATAATATTAGTATTATTATAAAAAGAAATATAGTTTATTTATTTTATACATACAATATGGATGTCAAATCGAAAATTATCAAACGACGATTAATGTGAAGTATTATATATGTAAAACTGATAAAAGATACAAAAGTTATTAACTTTTAAAGTACATTTTCAATTCAATTGCTATAATAGGAAATTATATTAAAATTCAATTAATACATCTGAAATAACCATAAATAACAATATATTTATGGATAATCCGAACCTAATTGATTTTGGATTGAAATTAAATTAAAATCTATCCAAGCCAAATAATTAAACATGAAGTTTTGCCACGTATCTGCCACTTAGGCTCAGCACATTCAGAAAGAGGGATTTATTTATTTATTCTTTTTAATGCTATTATTGTTTGTTAGAGCATTTTTAAGCTATTAGCATGTTCAATGTTCTAAAAGTCGGTAGGTGTCCGCTAGGTACTCGACCAACGCCTAGTACCCGCCTAGGCGCCGCCTAGTCTGGGTCTAGAAAGCAATATTAAACCTTATTTTTTATTTATTTTAACTACTTACAAAATAAAACTATCTAAACTTATTATAAATCCACACACCTAAGTCCAAATAATATTATATGTTTTAAAGAAAATATAAGAACAAATAATGTAACTAGTATAAAAAAAAATAAAAATAAAAAAATAAAAAAATAAAAAAATTGCCGTCGAGCCCGCCTAGGAGCGCCTAGGTCCCTTATGCCCGCCTAGGCGCCGCCTAACTGCTTACCGCCGATCCCGCCAAGTCCGCCTAGGAGCGCTTAGGGCCGCTTAGCCGTCTGGCTGATTTTTTCGACCGATTTGTGCAAATCGGAGGCGGCCGGGCCCCGCTTAAACCGATTTTTAGAACAGTGGGCATGAGAGGTTATGAGGTGGTTTGATTATGAAGAGGATCTACTTTATGTATTAGTTTTTCATGTGTGTTACTTTTAGAGTATGTTAGTTTATGTTGTGTTTGTTTATTTATTTATTTTTCTAAGTGTTTATATGGCTTATATTATTTCTATTATTGGATAGTTATGCTTTCCGATGTGGAGTGTTTAGATTTTAGTCCTTTTGTAATTTTGGTTTGTACTTTGATTGTTTTGTTCCTCTTAGTCAGTTGCATAATTTTCAAGAGGATGATGTACTTTTCTTTTATTTTGTTTTGATTAATAATATGTAATTTTATCATTTTTCTTCAGTATAAAATTACATACATGCTACAAAAAACAATTATAGGAGAATACTTCTGAAAAATTCTAGTCCTGCAAGATTTTGGTGTTTGTAATATTTTGAAGTGGTAATTAATTGTTTGTTAATTTCACATACTGTTGTTTGTTTGTGCAGTTCAAGTCCAAAAAATGATGGTGAGTTATTTTGTTTTTCTAAAAGTATAATTTTGATAAATGTAGAAATTTATGTGAGCACACGTTTCATAACACGGCTTGGTCGGGACTTTGATGTTTTAATTTTTATTATGCTTAGCTATAGCAACTTCCTTTCACGTGTACACGTGGCTCACGCGTTGGTGCGTTGGTAAGATCGGTCAAATCCATAATTTAGTGAAGCAAATTGCAAATTGCAAATTGCAATGGATCTATAAAGCCAAAAGGTTGAGAATATAAATAAAAAGAAAAAGAAAAAGAAACCACTCAAAGAGTCCAAGTAGGTTTAGAAATGACAAATTTAGGGGGTGATTGGATATGAATTCCAACTAGTAAAAAACTAATTTTTTTTGAACTATAGTTAAGTTTGAAAAAAAGTAGTATGGTTAGTTGTTAATAGATATATTAAAATAATATTTAAATTAAAATAATTAAAGTTGATTTGATGTAAAAATAGGAGAAAATGATTGAAAGTGATGATTAGTTAAATTTATGTGAGTGTGTGAATAGTGAATTAAAGTTGATGTGATGTGTAATAATGATTGTTTGATATTATTTAATTATATTGATAATATTGGAGATAATGGAGTTGAGTTAAAGTTGAGTTAAATTTGAGTTTTGAGTGAGATATTTACTGTAGAAAATATAAACAATCACGCCCTTAGGAAATGAATTCTCAACTTGATGACCTATCACCATAGTTATATTAAAATATGCCTACCAGTCACTTGTTATTTATATTAAAATGAATTCTCAAAAATCTTGTGATATTTTAATTATATCTAGTGATTTTTTATTCACATACCCAATATGTATAGCGTATTAATTTTCTAGTACTTCAGTTCATGAACTTTCAATCACATACTCAAGGTGCAAACTTTATGCTATATTAGCAAACAAATCCTCAGTTAATGGACATCTTTTAATCGCATACTCAAGGTGTATGGTATGCAAATTTTCTGCTATAACAATTAGACAAATTAACACTCTTCTTACTCAAATTTCCCAACATAACTAATTTTCTGCTATTTATTAACACGTGTATACTATGGAAAGGAAAGCGGAATTTAGTGTATTCTCACTCAAATTTTTCCTACATAACCATTAAGTTCGACAAACAACAACATTATTGTTTATACATAGGATAAGCAATATCACAAATAAATAAACAAAATCCCAGGCAACCAAGATAAGGATGCTTAGAGCTTACTGAAATATGGTTCACCTCTTGAATGTGGAAGACATAATATTATATGCCCCAAGACCTAACACATCCAATTTATAAAATTTAAATAATTACAACTCCGTATAATTTTCGTAAGTGATCCAAAAGTTTATTATCTCAGTACGACAGCAGCATTTCTAAGAGACAAATATCTTTGGACATAATCATTCGGAAGAGACCTAATTGTCCTGAAGATCTCTGCATTAGCATAACGTAGGTTTGTTCTTGGATCAAAGTAAAGCGCCTACAGAGAGAGTAGTGTTTTTCATAGGTTCAAAAACATATTGTCTATGAAAAACTTGGCAAATTAATTCAAATTCATATGGAGTTAACAAAGATTCACAATAACCTAGCCCGTCGCTTATTTAGGTAATTTCTTGAAATAACAGAAAATAAGCAAGCATTCATTCTGCACAGACTAAAGTAAAAATTATGTGGTTTTGGTCTAAGAGATAAATGAATGAACTGGTTTGGCCCAACAACAATATAGAAGGAAAAACAGAGGCCCTTTAAGGTCTATATTTCCGGAGCAAATAGGCCTTATTGGTCAGGTTTGTATTTTCCAAACAAATAGCCCTATCAGTGTACAATTTGTTAAAAATAAACAAGACAATCTGTAATTTCGAGTGGTAATGTTATATGCAAATGTGCACATATTTGGAGCAATCTAATTAGCAATATTCATAAGTAGAAGCTTCCACATTATATAGTAAGAAACTACGTCAAGAATATGAGCAACCGCAAAGAAATTAAAGAACAGAATTTAAAAAACATACGAAACTGATTTGTTTTACGTTGCAGAACGACTTACAGTGACTTTTTGCGGGCACAAGAGATTATATAAAGTCAGAATTTTTAAGTATGATATGGTACTCGCCAAACTTGAAAACAAGTAAAAGAAGGAATAAAGGAAATGCATAGTTGCATACCTCATAGCCAGTGATATCGCATATTCTTTTACATGGATGCATTGATGGTGGTGACTCAATGTTAACATCTGCAGAAGACAACAAAAAGACATGATGAGCCATAAATAGCAAAAATGATTATTTACTAAATCATAGTACTTTTTTTCCCCTTTTGTTTTCTTCTCTTTCCTATTTCTTCTATTGGTAGAAGCAATGGTAATATAAGAATCCTAGACTCAAGGGAACCGTTGGATTTAAAACTTTTTCATTTTGGTTTAGACGATTTTTTTTTTTCATTGAAGTTGTGATTGGATACGGTAATTTTTGGGAAAAATACAGTTTTCATTCATTTTCATATTTTCCTCCTCATTTTCATAAGCACAATTTAAAATTAAAAAGCAAATCATAACTACACATTCTCCGACAAAATTCACTATTCACTCCCTCACAATATAAAAATATTTCAGTCCTCCATTTTTCTTTCTAGCTAGACAAAATTTCCGAATGTCTATATACAAGTTTGATCATGGCAAAATGTATCAAATATGAATAACCGGAGAAAATTGGAAATAAACATTGCTAATAAACAACCTAATACCAACAATATACCCAATGCATATAAAAAGTATGCAAAACTTCACCTTATGTAACGAGTGGAAAAGACTACAAAGTTTGCAATACAAAAAATGTGCGTAGGTTATCAAACAAGTTGTAAATACAACATACTCCAAGCACAAATTTTGTTCTCAAGTCATATCAATCGCATGAAGAACGTATATATATGTATTATACATATACATACATACATACACTTAAAATTTTCTGAACAAAACCAACACATTAATTTAGTAAAGCTCTCCGATGCTAATCTTTCATCTTCTGATCAATGTTTCTCTCTTTGTTTCTTTTTTTTTTTTCATTTTATTTTCTTTCAGCATGCAACCAATGAATAAAAGGCTAAAATCATAACTTAACAATGATTCCAACACGCATAACCAACTATCTCACGAGATATGCGTATTATATACTCACAATTTGGTTCGTTAGGAGGATAATTTTGGTAATTCTCAGCTTGAATAATCTGCTTGAGATGTTTCCACCTGGCTCTGGCTTGGCCCTTTGGGTACTTTTCATACATTTGAGTCTTCTTAAATTTCATGTGAGTCGGTAACACCATTTCCGCTTCAATAATCTCGAGCTCCATTTCAAACCAGGCAGCTCTAAGGCAGCAGTTCACCTAAGCATAATCAACACCTAAAATTTGAACAAAAGGCTCGATACAAGGGAATGCAGAAAAAGTTCAAAATTTCTACATACAAGTTCTAAGTAAATTGGCATTGTTAATGAAAAATCACACACACACACACAAAGAATTTTCAATTTTAGTACACAAATGAAAAAGTGCCTGAAACCAGAAGTACTATCTTCTAGGAGATGATGCCCCAAATATCTACTTCAAAATCGACCTAATAAACAAAGACAACTAAACTAACCCTAACAAAAGGAAACCAAAATTTTGACAAATCAATCACCAAACCAACGATTGGAAAGCCATATCTAAAACCCTAATTTTTTTCAGCAGTACAAGTTGAGGTCTACAGTAGATAAAACAAAGAATTACGAAGCATCCCAACAAGTTAATTGGGAAAAGGGGAGAACGGACCTTAACCAAGCTTGGGCCAGTGGCGGACTCAGATGTAGCTCGGCTTCAGTCGTGGCGCGCCGGCCAAACAGCTCGAGCAGACAGAGAGCAGAAGAACCAGCGGAGACTGAAGCGCGAAAGAAATCAAATAATACGCGAATTAAGGTATATTGATTTATTTTTTTATTTTGGCTTTCTCTGTAAGTCTGACTGAGCATAAAGAGAAAAACTAAAAAAATATTTTTAAGAAAAAATGAGGTTTTATTTAAAATTGTGAATCAACACAAGATATTAATATAATATAAAAATGAATATAACATAAAAATTTGGAATGTAAATGAATTCAAACTAGCTCTAAATTTTGATGCTCAAGTTTAGGCTTGAGCTGATATCAAGTAAAGCTTGACTTGTTGATTAAGAAAGTTTCAATTCAACTTATTTATTAATATTAATAAATTAAATTAGAAACTTAACTAACAGAACTAAAGTAAATATTAAAAAAAATTACACGAAAAATTGTATTCTCGAGTTCTAACTAGCAACCTCAACCCGAATGGTTAACAATACTGAGCTTTGTATTTAAAAATTGATTTCAAACCTTAACGAGTTTAGCCGAGCTTATGAGCAATTCGTTTCGCTTAATAATTTTATCTTGCTTTAGGTAAAAATTAAATAAATTTACATAAAAGCTCATACTTTATAGCATTAACAAGTTGAGCTCAACTCTTACTGTTAACTATACGATCTTTAAACAATTTATACTCGGCTCGTTTTATCAAATACGTCGGGCTCGAGTTTTCACGAGTCGAGTTAAGCACACGAGCGAAAGGCTTGTTTGGTTTAGTAGACACATTATTATTGCAAGCGCATTTTAGAATATTTAAGGCTTGTTTGATTTAGTAGACACATTATTATTGCAAGCACATTTTAGAATATTTAGGGCTTGATTGTTTATAAATTATTTTATTCACGTTTATTTTATACTGAAAATTTAACTCAACTTTAACTCAACTCCACTATCCTTAAAATTATTCACATAATTAAATAATACAAACCAATTATTCTTACACATCACATCAACTTTAATTAACTATTCATCCACTCACATAATTTTAACTACCTATTATTTTCTACTTTTACATCAAATCAATTTTAATTATTTTATTTTAAATATTATTTTAATACACTTTTAAAATTATACTGACAACTAATCATACTACATTTTTCAAAATTAATTATAGTTAATCAAAATAATTCATTTTGATCAAATTATTTTATAATCAATCAAGTCTCTTTAACCTTTTTAATGTAAACACAACGCGCGAGCTACGCGCGTGCAGAACAGCCGGAGCATAACTAAAACTGGATCTAGCTCCCAATCCTCTCCGCAAATAGCAAACGCAGATTTTGAGCTCTTACGTTTTACCTGTCGCAAGAGCTCTCAAAAATGACGCCGCCTCCTGGACCGTACTCCGGCAAGAGCTCCCTTGCTCTGGTAACCTCGATTTCCATAGCTCCGATCATATCTTCTTATGCATATGCGTGAATTTAATCTGTGATTGAATTCATTCTATATAAACAGTCTGATTTTTCCATAAATGGCAGGTGGCTAGGGTTTCGGCTTTCACCTTCGGACTCGCATACGGCAGTGTAAAGCTTAAGATTCTTAAGGTATCCACTTTTTGTTTTCTTCTTTACGTGGTTTTATACTTTGATTTGCCTGGTTTTGCGTGATAGATTTTTTCAGTGAATTTGATAAGTAGATTGTTGAATTTGTACTGGTCTAGGTTTGAGGTTTTGAGTGGATATCATGAACCTAAAGATCTGGAATTTAGGTATGGATGATTTAGATATGTTTGATCAATCAAATCGAAAGTTAGCTGGTAGCTAATGAGTTAACCGAGAGCTCATAAGTTATCATGGATCTGATAGTTTGTGGCTGATGATTGAAAAGCGAGCCAATATAATAGGCATGTGGTAAATTGATAAGTCAACTCAACTACAACAAAAATTTCAATAAGCTTATTTGAAACGCAATGTAGAGAAGAATTTGTTCTTTTTCTTATAAAACCTATCTTACCAAACCAAACTAATTTGAATACAATAAGCTTATAAGTAAAGCAAATAAGCTATAAGATAGTTTATTGTGCTTATCAAACTCACTCATATAATTTGTTTGTATGGAAAGTGGGGTCGTAACTTATCAAACTCACTCATATAATTTGTTTGTATGGAAAGTGGGGTTGTAATAACTTGTAAGCTATGAGCTTACTGCTCCTTGGAGTAGCTAAATATTTGCTTCGAGTTAGAATTGATGAAGATGGATTGAAAACTAAAATGCTTAATTGTATTGGGTATCTGACAAGGAAACTGTGGTTATTTTTTATTTGGGGCTTTTTGCAGTTGTGTAAATTGAATTACTAGGATGAATATGGTTTGGCATTGTGTTGTTAATGTTATCACTTGTTTTCTGATAGCACATGAATCAAATCATGGGATCATATTTTTATATGTATATGGATACGGATATGACTAATCCCGGCACTCGGTTGTGTAGTCACTCGAAATGGATTGAAGTTGTCTTGTTGGTTAGAAGCTTTTAAAATGAATATCCCCAAGCATATGAGAAATAATCCTCAAAATGAACAAGGCACTGTTGATTTGGCTTCACTTTCAGTCGTTTAGTTTCGATCTGCATATTCTTTTATATCGGATATTTTTAAGGCGAAATTCTCAAAATGGACCTGAATGTTTTTCTTCATGCTATGTGATTGAGTCTCTGGAAATTACTTGATACGATCAAACCTCGTTTGATGGTCTTTTTGTATTGTGTTGATGATGGAGAAAACTAATGCAACATTTCTTTTCCTTATTTTACCAGGCAAAGGCTAAGTCTCATAGAAAAGCAGAAGCTAAGGGACACCATTAGAAAAGCAATTTTGTTTTCTTTCGTCTGATCGTAATAATGGAAGAGAGGAATTAGGTCGTGGGTAATGTGTAAGAACGTCATTTTCTCTTCATTCAGCAAAGTTGTTGATGGCTCTAGTTCCAGTTCCAGTTCTTTACAACTTTGGTGCAATTTATTGACGAATGACTTAATTTTGTTCAAAGAGAAACACATGTACTCTTTGAAAGAAAGTGCTCATTACTTTGTTGTAAGTTATCTTAATATAGATTTCTTAATTTTTGTGAGACCACAGGCCTGTAAACGAGTCTGAAATTGAGACTGAGTTCATCTCATTTATCTCTATTAATGAGTCGAGATCTCGAGCTTTAACGAGCGGAACTATAGAAAATTATATATAAATTCTCTTTTCGAGCCTTATCAAGTCGAGTCAAATTCGATTTGTTAACCAAACAAACTTTAAATGAGCTAGAATTCGGCCCGTTAAGGGATTGAGCTCGAGCCAAATTGGTGCCTTAACAAGTCGAGCCGAGTCAGACTCATTTAATTTAATAGCACTCAACTCCTTGAAATTTTGATTTGTTGGGAAACAACTTTTTAATGTTACATGATTACATCATACATGTGTTTAATGTAATGAACGGTCAAAGTCAATGGTACATTTATGTTGGGTATGTTGATTAATGATGATAAACAAAATTGCTGTTACCCGAACGGACACTACTTACGGTAGGAAGGAAATTTCGATAACAAACTAGGTATAATTTAATGAACTAAGGAGATGATTGGATATGAATTCAATTAGTAAAAAATTAACTTTTTTTTAACTGTAGTTAAGTTTTAAAAAAGTAGTATAGTTAGTTGTTAGTGGATATATTGAAATAATATTTAAATTAAATTAATTAAAGTTGATTTAATGTAAAAGTAGAAGAAAATAATTGGAAGTGAGGGTTAGTTAAAATTATGTGGGTGGGAGAATATTGAATTAAAGTTGATGTGATGTGTAATAATGATTGGTTGATATTATTTAATTATATTGATAATATTGAAGATAGTGGAGTTGAATTAAAGTTGAGTTAAATTTGAATTTTGAATAGAATATTTACTGTACAAATATCATGACAGGAGCTTTTGCCCACGGAGCTATATTTTTCATTAGAGATTACAACCCGGAGCAAAATGCCAATAATGTATTGGCAAGAATGTTAGACCAATATAAGTGTTGTTTAACTAATTTGACCAATATAAAACCAACTGGTTGGTTCCCTTATGGAACCAACACCCAATGATTTTGTTCCATGTGGGGCTGTCCCACATGGGCTCTATGTGGGACAACCCCACATGGAGCTGTCTAATTGGGTGTTGGTTCCATAAGGGAACCAACCAGTTGATTTTATAGCAACATTGCTTAGTTATATGTCTACTTATCCACATTAAATTCTTTGCTCTTAGTTCGCAATGGTTGAGTTGGTCACACACGGATATTTTTTCTTACTTATAAGTTATTATCAACGTATTATTCTTACTTTATTTTATTTTAAGAGAAAATTCCAACACAGCTTCAAGCGAGTTAATTTATGTGTTACTTTTAATGTTTCAAAGAAAATAATTCTAAAATAATTATTTCGTAATGTTTATTTTTAATGTTATAAAATAATTGGATGGCACATACCGCTTTGCTACAAGCCCACAACCACAAACGGGTCCCAGGGGGTTCAATATCTATCACACTTGTCACTGCGTGATTGAGCTCTAAAAATTACATGGTCTGCCCGCCGCCACTTAATCGAAATGTACAGTTCCTTACAGTTTGACCTAAAATCGTAAAGAACGAAAAAACATTAACCTTTTGTTGAAACAAATCAACAAACGTTTCCGGGCCGACAGCGCTTTTCGATATTTTGCCAAATTTCTGATCGCATAAAAGAAANAGTTGCGGAGGAGCTCATCGGCGAGCCAACGCCCGATCATCGCCGCATATCCAATATTCTCTTCATAATCGGTACTCATTTCTCCTATTTTTTTTTTTTCTTTTTAATTCATCTATAATTTGTAGGATTTTTCTGAGGCCATGTTGTGTTTTTTCTGGCTAATCCTCAAATGTTGAATTTGGGTGTGAAAGCTATGCAAACGGAGGCATCACCTCTGGTGGACAAATTTCAGCTCGCCGAGGAACCTGATTCTGGGTATGCTTCTTCTTTCGTCATTTTTCTTTCCCCTTTTTTTATTAAGGAAATGTGATTTTGGCTGAACAATTAGGTCATGCCTCGGGGAACATGAACAGAAAACTGAAGAACTAGGATGTATTATTTTAGGAATAGTTAGGCTTTGAAATGATTTAACAGTATATTGTGTCATTTTGTTATCGATTTGTTCATTGTAGCCAATTTGTTTCATTGTTCACTTCTCACATAATCACGCTCACTAAATGAGTATCTGAAGTTTATGTTTAGCTCTTTTAACCAGTTAGTATCTATTAATTATAGGTGAAAGAGTTACTCAGGCTTATTTTTAAGTTAAAGAATTTTGTAATACGGTTTAGATGGAGCATAGCTTTGAACAATTGTTGGCTAATTAAGTTGCTTCACTTTCAAACTCACATGAACTTGGGAAGTTATCAAACTAATGATGCAGGTTTCCTAAGGGGGTTCCATGGGTGAGATACTCTGGTAAATATAAAGATCTGAACATCAACGTTGTTTGTCCTGGGAAAGACAAGTCATTGGGTTTGTACTCTTTACACTCCCCTTCCTCATTTAGTAAATGTGTTAACTATGATTTCAAGTTAGGATTTTGCTCACAATTATTATGGTTTCTTCCCAGAAGAGTCCACAATGACTGCTTGACCTGGTTTGCATGTACTTGTTGATTTTGTATTGGCCTGCAATCTGGGTATAATGTCATAAACAAATATGCTCGTCGTTTTAGATAGTTGGAACTTGAATGGTGGTGATGTACTTGACGGTTTAAGTAACACCATTGTTCTTGTTGAAGCAAAGCATCATATTCATATCTAATATCACAATATTTGATTACGACTGCTTGCTGAGAGCTGATTTGGTGAGGTTTCATTTCTTTTTCCTTTAAGGGGTTGATTCTGTCGGCACAGTTTCAGCATCTCTTCTCACATATGCTTCTATTCAAGCTTTACATCCAGACCTCATCATAAATGCAGGAACTTGTGGAGGATTCAAGGTATTACAGTTGCAACTGTAAAGGAATTTTTTTTTTTTTTTTTATTGGACCTAATCATGCTTAGTTAAATACTGCTAGTTTGAAGTTCCATCATGATATGTGCGTAAGTGCATTTATGCTTGTGCATGTGACCAAGGGTTTTCTTTCTTTTTCTCTTTTTTGATTTAGTTTCTCACTTTTTGTTTCTCTCAGTCAATATTTACTTTCTCCATCAGTTACAAGAATTGTTTCTCTGCCTCGCACACTTAGTCATTTCGAAGCTTTTCACATTTTTGTGAGCTTTAATTTATCTTGCAAACTATATTGAGTTGTAGACTCAATCATTGTTGGAGGATTTCGACCAGTGTGCTTCAGCCGAGAGATAGATGGCCGAATTGTGCACTCTGCATATAGCACTCCTGGATTTAGCAACTTACATATAATAATCTTTTTTTATTTTTTGGTATATAAACTTCCAGGAAAAAGGTGCCTCAATAGGTGATGTATTCCTTACATCAAACGTTGCTTTCCACGATAGAAGAATTCCGATCCCTGTAAGCCTTTTGCGGTTTTCTTGTTTTCCGCTTAGTTTTCCACCTTATTTCATTTAAATAATGTTGATAATATGAATGGTGACAGCAAAGATTTGATTCCTGAGAGCAGTTAGTAGTTTACTTATATGCTGCCATAAAAGTATAATGTGATGTACCAGAGGGCTTTCGTGTTTGCTTCTTCATGGTGTTAATACTGATCGCATATCGTTTTTAAGTGTTGCCAGCACCTTGTCGAAAAAATTTATCGACTCCAATGACGTGTTCTATTGACATGGTTTGAAACCTTCCTGAAGTAGATATCCCCATAAAGTTCTTATGATATGTTTGCTCGTCAATGGCAATAGATGCTTTAAGCCATGTCTTTTGAATTCTGCATTCCTAATTCTGCGTGAATACAGTTGATTTTCAGTTTTCACTATTTTGTTTAAATTTCCCATATCAATTTGTAGGGATGGATCCCAATTCCCAATCCTAACCTCTACTTCAGTTTTGAGGACTTCATGATGCAGTTTATATTGAAATAGCCAGCTAGTTTACCTTTAGATTATATTTTCTTGTTAAATGTCAATTCACCCATCTCACATCACATCCTCGTATGACATTTTTTATTTTTATTTATATATATGCAGGTGTTTGACTTGTATGGGGTTGGCTCACGCCAAGCATTTTCCACGCCTAATCTTGCAAAGGAACTGAACTTGAAGGTTAGATACTCTTTTTTTACAATCATTTTGAAATAATCGATGAGGTCCTTCAAATGAACTGTCCTTTTTTGAACATAGCTTATTAATTTGTAGCAATGTCAATCTTTTTTATCTACTTGTGTATTTGGTTGCTTGTAAATCTCTTCTCAATTCCTGCCCTAAATAACTTGAGATTTGCATAGTTAGACAATGGTAAAAATTGTGTCATTATGGGCTTGGCCTTTTGCAGACAATATAACATTTTCTGTTTATTATTAGGTTGGCAAATTATCTACTGGTGATTCTTTAGATATGTCCCCTCATGATGAAGCAGCAATCATTGCAAATGACGCAACAACTAAAGACATGGAGGTAACTTGTTTTTCTCTGAGCTCATCATTCATCATATCTAAAATAAAATGAAATATAGTTATCCACAATTTGTTGTTCTCACTTCATCTTTAATTTTCTTGGACATCTGCATGTGATTTTGCAATGACAACTCACTTGTTGTTTAGGATAATTGCACAACAGAAAAAGAAAACGAAAAATTAGAAAAAGACAGAGAACAATCATCTGTCTAGATAGTATCACTAATATTCAAATCTCCCTTCAGTTTTTTGTAATTTCTTCTCAAATAACCGTTTATCAAGTCGTGTGTTAACTCGTGAAACAAATATCAAGCAACTGATTGTAATTTTCATTTTTTTTTTCTCCTAACATAGAAATGAATTTGCTGACACAAGACAACATGTGATTGATGTTTTTGTGTTTCGCTAATTAACTGCTTGCTAAGATAACTCCCGATTCCTTTATATCAGGGAGCTGCCGTTGCTTATGTGGCGGATCTATTGAAAGTGCCCACAATATTTTTAAAAGCCGTGACTGATATTATCGATGGTGACAAGCCAACAGCCGAGGAATTTCTGCAGAATCTGGCAGCAGTCACTGCTGCTCTTGAACGGACAGCAACCCAAGTTGTTGATTTTATAAACGGAAAAAGTTACTCGGAGCTTTGAATTAAGTGAGCAAATGAGGAAGAAGGTAAACGTGAATTATTGAAAATTTACTGGTGTAACAATTCATCTTTAAAATGTTTTTCCACGATGCATGAGTTTATAGTAAGTATTTTAGTCATGGCTGTGGAGGATTTGTATTGAACTATTGATGATGGCAGTGTATTGTTTGCACATCGATTTTTTCTTGATCCATGTTTGCCAATTACCTCCCTTTTACTCGTTTATAGTGATGTGTGGTAAGTGAACCAAGAAAGCTACAATTTGGGACAATTAGATTTTCAATGTCGTCTTTTTCGCGAATCCATTTCATAAATATTGGTGATGGTGCAGCCACATGAAGGTGTTGTGTATTAATATTGATTGTTCTGTCATTCCGAAATATGATTATCTTGTTTGATCTGATTAACTAAAGGTTTTGTCATAGCTGATTTTTGTGAATTTCTTGTGATGTAAATGAATATGTTGAAATCGACTAATTTAGGCTTTCGGAGACACATTCATAGCTGATTTTGTGAATCTCTTGTGATTTTGATAGATGTCTTTAATATGATGGAATCGAGTAATTTAGTTTAACGTGTGTTTCTTAGGATTTTATTAAATGATGATTTTTTTGTAATAAGAAGTATAGATTAAGAAAAATGGTTTATCATACTTATAATGATTTGAAAAGTTAATCAAATTGTAAAGTTGTGTTCGATTTTGCTTAAATAAAGAATTGACGCATAAATAACCGCATATGGTTTAGGCTGTCATTACAATGTTAATACTTAGTAGTTAAAAATGTAGCCGATAAAAGCTGGGCATTGTATTTTGATTTCACTTTTTTATTTATACGTTTCATTCCTCAAAATATGATTTAGAATAATTATACGTTCTAAAACTATTATAAATTGTTTCGAAACTTCCTCAAATTCAATAGAAAAAATTTACAAACTTGCTGAGGGATAACCTTCTCAACCATTTTAGGAGCATTCCTGCTAAATTTAGTCTTCAAAATTCCACTACTGCTATGCTCAATCACGCCATAATGTGTACCAATTTTACTCATAATTCATTGGTTTCCATATGAATTGATAAAACAACCCAAACACCACAAAACCAAGACCATGAAATGAAACAAGCATCGCGTTCATATATATAAAGTTGAAAATGCTCGTAAAAATTATCATAATCTAAAAGGCCAAATTGGTACACACATAGTTCTTCATACTACCGTTTTTCGTAACTCAAAGATATAATGTGAACATCCAATTCGTGCCAAAACTGTCAAGTTCACAACCGAAAACCAGGCATTTCTACTGTAAGAGCCAGTGAGCAAAAGAACAGTTGAAAATAACGCTTACTTAAACTGCTAATAGTTACACCACTCCAGAAGGAAGACGCAAAACGAGCTGCCCCCCGAAAACACTGCAAATCAAAATCCGAATTTGATGAAAAAAATTAAATAAAAATAGATATGGATGTAAAAATTCGTAATTGTTGAAGATAACGTTCCAAACCTTTTTACATAGTAGTAGCAAAAGTCGGCTAGGATAAAGGTTTGAACAATTTCGGATAAAAGAACCATTGATGGCCAGAGACCATAGCCCAATGCCACGAGTAGATGACCTCGTGTGTCCAAAACCTGAATAAAAATCAAAATAAAAATATAAAAAGATAAAAAAAAAAAAGATGTAAACTCCACAGTTAATGTAATTACAAAGATGAGAAAAGAAAAAAGGAAAAAAAAGCTATAATTCAAAGTTATGGCAATCCCTTGGTATTTGATACCATTTCAAAAAAAAATATGGCATAATTGCATTTTTAGTCGTGCTGGTTTAACGTCATAGTAATTTTTAGTCCCAAGGTTCCAACATTTCACTTTTTGATTCTGTGATTTAATATTTTGCTGCAATTTCAGGCAGGACTAAAATTTCAACAAATTCCCAGATTTTCGATTAGCAATTTAAGTACTGCAATTTAAAATTTTGTTGCAATTTTAGTACTTTAATTTAAATTTAATTGCAATTTCAGTCCTCAAAGGATTGAAATTGCAGTAAAATGTTAAATCAGAAGGCGACAAAGTTGGAATCTTAGGACTAAAATTGTTATGACGTTAAACCAAGAGGATTGAAAATGCATTTTCGCCAAAAAAATATCGATGGAGGGTATTTGTTAAGATTAATACAAACTGCAACGGAGTGTGCCAGTAATATGTAAAAGTAATTTGTATTTTTTTGTCAATGCTTTGGCTCTTTTGAATAAGGTGATTTGTTAACGGTAGCTTTTATAACTAATCCCTTCGCATTATCTGATAATTTTTCTAAACAAGATCATAAAGGGGTTTCGTGCATCAAACCTGGAGAACCCAGTGAGCACAGCTCAAGAAACGGGCAACACCCAGTGCAAATACATAATGAGCTGTAAAAGGTTCAACAATCTGCCACCAGAAAATAAATAAATAAATAAATGAAAACAATTGCAGTTCTCCAAACTCCAATAAAAAATGTAAAATACCTATACCTTTGTGTTTTGCATGACACGAAGTTGAGGTAGAACAGAAACAGCTTCAAGATAAACACAGAAAGCCCAGGCTATCCTGTTGATGATGTGATGTGATGTAGATGGGTGAATTAATAAAGCAATAACAGCACAAGGGATCACCTGCAAAGACACGTTTTTCAAAACTCCGAATGCAAAAAATCAGGAGAAGTATAGAAGTATAAGAAGAAACACTAATGGGGAAAGGAATCATCTTTGATGTTAGACGATGAATAATAATAAGAAGAAGAAGAAGAAGAAAAAGAAGAAGAAGAAAAGGCATCTCAGGGCTAAATTGACCGGAAAATATGGAAGTAACAGATTTGAAACAAGAACACGTTTGAGATTTACAGAAAGGAGCTATGGATTCCATCGTAAGCATTGGAACAGAAGAAATCAGAAGCATTTACATACAAATGAATACTACTAAGATAAAACGACATAAGCAGAATATACTTTTCTGCATATTAATGGTAATCCTTGAAAATCACTTAGAGAAAGAATGAATGGTGATAATTTCATTTAAATTTTAAAGAATGAATTTTCAGATTTCTGGAGTTTTCCATGACATGTTCAAATGATATCTTTCCTCACCACAACTCCAAAGACACAATACCGAGTGAACACAAAATGCCATTCAGATATAAATCCTCACCACATAATACAACGGAATATTGTCTTTATCTTCCATATAACTTGATCTCAGTTTGAAACGGATCATATAAATAACCCATAAGGTTGTAGCAAGAGTAGCCATGTCCAGCACAGTGTGGATATCGTATTCCATGACAAAACTGCAATACAACCTAACAGCCAAAAAGATAGCTGTTAGCTCCTGGGATTTGAGCGAAAGCCCTGCCATGCAATTAACAAACAAATATTAGCATATGAAGTTGCATAGGTAAAGGCCTGAATAGCATTGCTCTTTCCTAAAGTGAATAAAAGTCTGCATAAAANATAGAAACATTTCATACATAAATATTGATAGAAATAATTCAGACAAAAGCAATCAGTAAGCCTTTCTCCTGGTGTCACCAAACAATCAGACCAAGATCTTGTACCAAAACACTCCTAATTCCCAGAAAGTTCCAAGCTTTTTCTCATTCCTCACCAAATTATATAAATACATGAATAAACAAATGGCATAATCAATTCCCAATTCAACAAGGGTTCACAGAAAATGTTAATTGAAGAACACTGAACCCAAACTCTCTTATTTATTGTGTTCTTTTAATGGGTCTTCAGCTCCAAACTACTACCACACCCCCCCAAACCCCTAATTCAAAAAACCCCCTTCTCAAAGATCAAAACTCGATACAAAAACGCCAATTAGAAAACAAAACGATGCCATACCAGCACAAGTTCTCTCCTTCATCAGCTTGTAGATCAACACGGCAATTCCGATCGAGTGAACGGCCTCCGACGCCACAAACAGATTATCGTGATCGTGGACAATAGCGCGGAGGAGAACAAGCGCCGCCATGCCGCTGACCACCGCCAGAAACGCCTTAACCTTCGGCGGCTGCCGCCGAACCCACGTCGCCGCAGCTTGGATCGGCCTCCTTGCTGCCTTCATAATTGCAGGTGAAAGTATGTAACCACTTTTGTCCCAAAAAAGCTATGAATTTCAAGGGATTAAACGAGCTTTCTTCCTTTCGTTTTGAAGTCCTTTTCGCAGCGTGTAAATTTATGTGCTGCGTAGGGATTTTGTGTAATTTTTTCCAAGTCCTCGTGGATTTTCGGCAATATCACATTGATTACTTAATAATAAGTTAAAAAAACGTTTCTTTAGTTAAAAACGTTATGGTTCACAGCTCGCGTTTATACAATAATAAATCTTTCAGTAAAAATATTTTTTTTTTTGTTTTGTTTTTCAATAAAAACAAATATATATTTTTATTTTACTTTTCCAACTACATGAAGTATATATTTTATTTATTATTAATATTATCAAAATGACAATATAGCATCTACTAGAAAAAGTAAATATGCTATAAAAAAAAAAAGTAAATATAAAATGAATACAAATAATGTTGTCCAGCATTAAAATGATAATTTAAGAAATGATGTGTGATGTTAAATTAAACGAGTCTGACTCGACTCGTTAAGGCTTGAGTTCGCAAACGGGCCAAGCTCGAACTCATTTAAAGTTCGTTTGGTTAACAAGTTGAGGTCTGCTCGGCTCAATAAGGCTTGTTATGGTTAGAAAATAGAATTTTTATATAATTTCTATAGTTTGACTCTTTAAAATTTGAGATCAGCTCGTTAAGGCTCAAACTTGACTCTTATTATTGATAAACAAGTCGAACTCGAGCTCGATTTCAGGCTCGTTCGTTAAGGGCTCGAACCCGAACACCCTAAACTCGACGTCGACTCGACTCGTTCACATGCCTCAAAAGAATAAATCTTACGACATATTAATATACATTAAAACTAATTATATAATATTCAAAAACCATTAATTAGAAGTTATAATTTTTTTTAAACTCTGGAATAATATACACATATTAATTAAATATTATTAATATAAGTTAATTTTAAATAGTATTTTAACATTATATTAATATTCCTTATCTTTAAATTAATGCACAATTCTTCACAATTTCCCATGTATCACACTAATAAAAAAGCAGGAAACTGAAATGAGAACAACAATCGACAAAAACCATATATCAACTGCAAGAGTTTTCCATAAAGCAAGGAATTAATCATCACATATGCCCCCAGAAATAAAAAATAAATAAAAAAAAAAGCCTCATTTATCTCTTCTAAATTCTGCATTCATAAAAGCACCCCTAAAAACCAATGAATTCATTCATTCATAACCTAAAAACCACATTCCAATCCAAAGATCAAAAGGTCAAAGATGCTGCTGAAAAAAATAAATAAAAAAAAAGAACCTCATTCATCTCTTCCAAATTCTGCATTCAAAAAGGACCCCTAAAAAGCAATGAATTCATTCATAATCATAACCTAAAAACCACATTCCAATCCAAAGATTCAAAAGGTCCAAGAAGCCGAGCGCTTCAAAACGGGCTTCAACTGCTTATCCTCCTCGATAGCGATCATACCCAAATGCGAAGGATCCTCAATCAACATCTTAGCCACCAGATAGCCTGCGATTGACCAGGTCTGGTTTTTCCGAGCCTGCTTCCCGATAAACCGACCCTGCTTCCCATCGTAATATTCGGGCCAACCGTCTTTCGAAAGTCTGCTCTCGGCAAGCTCAATAGCTCGCCTTGCAATCTGGGGCCTCCCGGTTTTGATGCACGCGGCTGTTAGGAGCCATAAAAGTACTGTTTGCGCAAAATGAAAATTAGCAAAGAGCCACCAAAACAAAAAGATGAATTCATTTCAAACTGGTGAACTTAAAGACAATGAGTTAAATCTGAAAAATAATTTTTCACCAGATAATTGAACTATGAAATGCACAGAAGTTAAACTTATAAGACCAAGAATCTCTATCAGCATACTTGAATAAAGAAAATAGGCACTAATAAGCCTATGGGAAAATACTATTGAGGTTCAATCTAAGTACTTAAAACCCCTACTTAGCATCCATAATTACGGAAAAATACTATTGAGGTTCAATCGGAAAAATAATTTTTCACCAGATAATTGAACTAAGAAATAAAATAAATGTTCTACACATCCACCATCCGCCAACTCGAGACTCGAGACTTTTAGGACCAAAACAAAAATCACCAACTTGAAACATAGGGCCAACATTGCAAGGAGAATCATTAAACTCACCAACATCGCCAAAATAAAAAAAAAAATAAAAAGACTAGGAAAAATTGCCACCTCACATTGTTAAGATGTCCAAATTTTTGCAACCAATCTCTATGAAAAACACCATTCACATTCAAACTATTTTCAAAACAACCCCATCCACCATTCAAAAGATGAAAAATCCCCTTCATATTTTCTTCTTTAATTCCCAGAATTCCAGACCAAGGCAAAGAGATATTCCGTAAGCAAATACAAACCTCGATGAGATGCATGTATTACTTCTACCTTTCGGAAGACAATCAGAGTAAAGTTTCAGGGCAGCTTTGTAAATTGCATATAAAGGCACCACCTTTAAGGCTTTTGCAATTTAATCATGCTATTTGCGTTTAAATCGCCACATTTCATACGTTTTGCAGATCGAAGCATAAATTTACCCGGCCACGATCCGCCATTATGACAAGATGGTGATTTAAATTCAAATAGCAAAATTGGTGATTAAATTGCCAAAAAAAGTCTTAAAGGTGGTGCCTTTATATGCAATTTTGCCAAAAAAAAAAAAAAAATTACCCGGCCACGATCCACCGTTATGATAACTCCACCTCGTATTCTTCGGGTCACAACCAGTCACGATCCGCCACTCATGATTCTCAATAGCCGGGTAACAAACCTTTAGCGGCATGTCCCCCACCAGCTCCTCCCACCTCGACTCTATCAAGTCCATGATCGCTACCGATTGCTCGTGCGTAGCAAGTGACGAGAGGATCGCAACACAATTCCCCAAGCAAAACCACCGAAAATCCATCTTTGAGGGCCCCACATTCCCGATAAAGTATCCCCCGTGAAGGGGCATGAAATCAAATACCCACTCGGGGAGCGAATCGGGCATGACGTTGAACTTATTGACGGCAGTGTGGGAATATTCTTCTGTCTTGTAGCGATAGATATCGTTGAGCTGCTTGAGATCGAGCCAGAAGTAGCTTCGCATGTGGTAGCTCAATGCATGGAGGCGTTTAACTATACGTTCTATGAGATCCTTACCGGGGCCATCGTGTTTAAGTAAGAGCATTGCGCACCTTAAAGCCATGAAGAAAAGCGCCTGTATCTCGATCGGGTACCCGTACACTCCCTACAAGTACATTTTTTTGTTTAGCATGCGAGTGTGAAGAAAGTGCATCGACAAATGAAATGTATATATGGGTACATGCTGCATGCATGCATGCATAAGAATTAAAGAATTCCTAGTAGTTGTTCTTGACGTATCACACTACACATAATGACATAATGCTGAGTATCGTGTTAATATTATTGAGAGTAATTATAATTATATCATAAAAAGTAAAAACAATCACTTTTGAACATCAAGGGTGCTTACTTTATCAATAATTTTCCTAATGAATGAATGAATGTTCAGTGCCAAGTCCTTTTAGTTGTGTAAAAAGTAAAAACCACCAGATTGTACTGTATTTTCTGTGAAGTGACTTAAAAAACATAGTGATCTCAACTTTTCTGCAGATGCAAAGCAAAGAACCTATCGGAAAGGATATTCATGAGGTCCAAGAGTTGTTAATCGAAATGAGCCGCTCATGAGTTTGGCTCGGCTCGTTATGGTTTGAGTTCGGCCTGACTCGTCTGATAAACGAGACGAGCTCAAGCTCGCTTGAAGCTCGTTTCGTTAATGAGACGGGCTCGGCTACGCTCGATAAGGCTGGTTAAGGCTCGAAAAGATAATTTTTATATAATTTTCTATAATTCGGCTTGTTAAAGCTCGAGATCGGCTCGTTAAGGCTCGAACTCGGCTTTTTAATATCGATAAACGAGCCAAGCTTGAGCTCGATTCCTGGCTCGTTTATTTAACTAGCCTAGCTCGGCTGGACACATTAGGGGATCGAGTTCCAGCTTGGCTCCTTTACAAGCCTACAGAGCTATAGGTTTCTCACTTTAATTCCCCCAGAGGCCAAAATAATCAGGTTTCAAAATTTTTGCTTACACTTCAATTCTGCAAGACAATAACCTTGCTAAATTAAGGGAAACTAACTATATACCAACAAGCATATCAATTC